CACAGCCTTTGTGCTGATGCCAGCATGCTCACTTTGGGTTCCAAGAATAAATCAGGTGTTTGTGTTTGCAGAATCTAGCAGCTAATCAATCCTGAAACGGACAAACACATTTTGTGTGCTCAGTTTCCAAGGCCAAACTCCTTTAGAAAGAGAGGGCACATGGCTTCTCCAGGCTGATATTTAGCCCCCAAACGTAGGTAGGAGTGGCCCACTGAAAATTATAGACAATAGTGTTACCAGCTTTCCAGTTTCAGAGTCTTAAGTGTTTGGGCTAAATCTGGATAAAATTCTCATGTTACAGATTATGCACTGTGAAATTTAAAAAGTTGAGGTTATATTAGTGATGATACTTTGTCAGAAATAAGAACAATTTCTGGAAGCTGTGAAGTCTTCTGAGCCAACTTCCTTAAAAGTGGGGGGTGGGCAGTGGGGCCCTCTTCCCATTCCTAGGGCGGCCTCGGCCAACGCAATCTTGCGGCTTCCACAGAGCGCGCATGCCCCCTGCTGGCCAGTCCTCGAATGACAGCCTCTAACGGAGGCGTTTGATTTTATTTTAATGTTCTACGGCGCAAGCTCACGCCCCTTTTACCCACCTGCAGTTTGTATTCTTACCCCTTCAGATAGTAAACCTAAGTCAGACAAGAGCCCCACGGAATTCTCATGCCATCAACAATGTTTGGAATCTAAAGCCAAAAGATTTAGATGATCCTAAATTATTGTATTTAAGCACATCTGTGAAAATAAAGTTTACAATTGTTGCTTACGGCAAAGTGACATTTGGAAAAGCTGTACGAGCCATTAAAAGCTAAGCACTTGAGTCACAAAGGGAAGTACAACAGGCAGCATAGAGGGAAACTCAAATGCCTGCAATTAGTTTTGGGGTAGCAGTACTTCTAAGACTTCTTGTCATGTGTCCCTGAAGGATAAGGCAGTCTCTGCTCACACCTTCACCTTTCAGCCCTGTGTCACTTTGAGCATTTATAATTTGGGGCATTGGCAGCAGGCGTTGAAGGTTTCCACCAGCTGTGAAATTGAGAAACCCCTGTGAGTGTGAGGCAATTAGAAATTTATATTTTATTTCTCCCCTGTGGCCCCAGAGTAGTTCTTTTTAAAAAAATGTTTTCCTTCCACCTTAAATACAGCCATCCATGTGATGGGAAGCATTTTTAAGACAATTGAAGGGAAGCAATGTCCAGGACTCAGAGAGAAGGGAACGTGAGCTTCGGTGTTTTAAGAAGGCCAGGCTATCTGAAGCCACTTGGCTGGTGGCAACTCCTCCACACCCTGCTTGGGGAGGGGGCTCTGCTGGATCCAGGCAGCCTGCATGGTGGGGATGCGGGTGGCGCAGCCCTGCCGGCTCTGCTGTTCTTACCTGCTGAGCTCTGTAGCTCTATGGTTGTAGCCCAAGCAGCAGTAGCCCAGTTGTGCTGCTGTTATCCAGGTGGGTTTCAGTAAATTTAACTGAATCCCTCATTCACGAATTAGCTGCAGCCCCTCCTGGGGAAGGGGCCACTGCTTGTCATCTAGGTGGACAGGTTCCTCGGAGAAAGGATGGCAGCACATATGAAAGCTGATCCAGGTTGCTGCCTTGATTGTCACTCAGGAACTGTGATGGGGAATTAAATGATAAAAGTGCCCCTACTTAAAAGCCCAGAGCTTAATAACCACCTTGTCATTTCTGTGCTGGCAGGGAGGGATTCCAGCATCTTCTCTTTCCCCATTTAACTTTTCTCAGTCTCCTTTTGTTTAGTTTTTAAACATGTTGACATTTCCAAGAAGCACCATTTGGCTTCCACGCAGACACATAAAAACAGGTGAAAAGAAGCAACATGGTTCTGCACATTTCCACAAATAAAATCAAAGCTGAGTGGCTCAGTAGTCCTAATGGCACGTTGCCCTCAGGCAGGTCTTCCCTGTGAGGCCCGTGACCCAGGAGCCAGCTGGCGAGTGGAGCTGCCTGGGGTCAGGCTGAGGTTGCTGCCGAGAAGCATGGGATGGGCTGACACCCACGGGCAAGCAGGAGCATGCACAGGAAGTCACTAATGCTGTGACTTGGCCTGTTTTCTCTTATGCAGGCTAATGGAGTCAGCAAATACCCAGCAGACATCGAATGCCCTGTGTGCCAGGCACTGTGCTGACTGCTGGTAACAGAGGTGAACCCGAGGCTCCTCCTACCCTCAGGTGTCCAGGGCACACCTGGGGAGACTCGTAGTGGAGAAGCAGCTTTAGTTCAGATGGTCAGAGCTGCAGAGGAGGAGAAGGGGTTCTCGGGGGCCCAGAGGTAGCACTGTGTCACTGTGGGGGGTTGGAGTGAAGGTATGGGGTTTTAATCCATCCCTTCTATTTTATTATTTGTTGTTTATCAGAAATTCATATTTAACCAGGCATCCTACTGAATGTGCCACCCTAAAAGAAGGTCAGTGTAGAGCAGAATGTATTTACCTCACTAAATGTTACACTTGGAGGTTATAGACCCAACCAAGAGCTGAATGTTAATTAAATCAAAGACATAACCAAAAAAAAGTCACCAAAGTAAAGATGCAAGAACTATAAATTTCTATAATATTTAAAAATTGTTAAAGTATGCTTTACATCCTGTGAGATGGGTGTAAATATGCTGTATGCATGGACTATACAAGGGGCCAATCTTCCTATAATTTGTACCTACAGAACCTGGCAGTACAACTGTGGAGTCGTAAATTTAATGGACTTTAGTATTCTAGCTATAGCGAAAGTTGAAATATAACAGTAGTTTTGCTTGTCTTAGATTAAAGAAGCACTTTGTGGGAATGAGTTATATAATTGTCTTCTCTTTAAAAACAGCTTTTCAAGAATTTTGAATTGGCTTTCTTTTCCTCTGTAAGACTTCTCTGTGGCAATTAGAGTATCAAAGTGTATTGGTGCAAAGGGTGACACTGACGTATGTGTGTGTGTGAAATGCAGTATATGAATAAGTGAAGTTCTGTGCAAGGAATTCAGGGCTTGGGGGAGAGGCATGCAGAGCATCTGGCTCTCTGGTATGTTCTGTCTATTACTCTTGTGCTTCAGGATGTGGAGAGAAGGATTCCTGGCCTACCCTGCAGTTGGTCCTGACCCCTGCTGACCTCAGTTGTGAAGGCTGTCCCTGCTATAGCCCAGGCTTTCAGGAATACCTTTGGTGCATGTCTAGGGAGCCTCAGGAGGAAGGTTCCATGGCCATAGGTTCTAGGGCCTTTTAATTTAAATCAGATAGTTTAGGAAATTATTTTTTTTCTCTTTCGTAGACCCAGTCAATGAATTGCCTGAAAACTGAACAATCCTTTCCCCTGTAAAACAAAACGAAACCAGAACTTCTGAAAACTTAGATTCCATGACTGATAATAGTTCTGGGATCTGAGCCTTTGTGGTTTGATCATAGGTCACAGGGACAGTGACATCCTTGGTCACAGGAAATATGGGGGAGAGGCCAGAGTCCTTGGGAATCTGACTTCCCCCATCCGCAGGAAGCTGATGGGCCGGGCCTGTGATGGGAAGACTTATCTTCTGCACAGCTTGTGGGGACACAGAAGAGCCGCCCAAATCTCCATGCCTCGAGCTGTAGCATTTTAAAAATAAAGTACTCTCTTCTAACAACCGCTCGGAACTTCTGGTGACTGTAACAAGCACAGATGCTCAGACTCCAGGGAAGTGCCATCAGTCACAACCACTTTGGTTTTCTCCAGGCAAAGATCTGACCCTTTCCCTTCCAAACAGAGTTTGATGACTTGTCTAAATAGGGGCTCCATTTACATGTGCCTTGTGGTTTGGGCAGCTGTGGCCACAGAATGAGTCTTTCCCCATGTTGTTGGGGATGGGAGGATCCTGGGCCAGCCCGTCCCTGCTGGAACCACCACACTAGAGGGGGCTGAGTGGTCCCAGGTGGGCTCCAGCCACGTCCATGTTGTTTATGGAGCCAGCCTGGACTGTCCCTCTTGGAGGGATCTTACATGACCTTGGCACAGGATGTAAATCATTGAGTCGCTGAGTTTCACCAGGTGGCTGCAGCTTCAAACAGCGCTGAGAGCAGGACTTGCCATTGAGTGAATATTCCCAGACGTCCCATTATGGACGGTGACACCCAGGGCAGCATCATCCTTGTGGGCGCCTGTTGTGCATTTTTGACTTGAGGCATTGCTATCTCAACTCTAGGACTGCTCGCCGTAAAGGATGCCCACGACATAGAGACCAGGCTGAACGAGGTGGAGAAGCTGCTGAAGACCGTCATTGGCATGCCCTGCAAAGTGAGTGGCCGGGCCGAGCGGAGGGAGGGTGGGGGGCCTGCCCCTCCCACACCCCACAGGCCTCCATCCTCCCAAATAATTGCCCCTCTGGCTCCACGCACACCGCTGCTTTGTTTCCTCCCTGGAAGTGCCAGGCGATAAGGAAGGGGGGCAGATGGATGCTGGGGGAAGGAAGACTTTCATGGGTTCCAGTGGCTTCTTTTTTTCTCCCTGGGGAAAGAGTGGACGTGAGGGGCACCAGGAGGTATTGAGTAGAGAGGAAGGGACATGGGCCCCTCTGGCTGCAGCGGTCATCATGTTCTCGCCTGTGCTCAGAATCCACTGTTTTTAGAGGATTTTAGAGCAGGCACGTGGAAGCCAGCAGAGTGTTAGTGTCAACATCAGCAGGTGACATTGCTTGAATCTGGCCGCGGGCTCCCTTATACATTTGTGAGCTTCATTTGGGGCAGTGATTACAAGCCAAAACTTGAGAGTCAGGCACACCCTGTCGGCTTCCCTTTCCTCCTCTGGCCAGTGGGAAGAGGACGCGGCCCACAGTCTGGTAGAGATGGAGGGGTGAGCGCAAACACTGACTGGCTGGAGCCTTGTGTCCATGAGCCACGCGCATCCCCAGACCTTGCATTTGAGCCGCATGGGACCTCAAATAAACGGCCAGTGTGCAGTGACTGCAGCCTCACTATGTGGTCAGTCATTAGAGCATGTGGACCGTTCACTAGGTGTTAGCAGCAGATGGGGTCGCTTCCACAGAGGAGCAGTGTCCTCTTCTAGGCAAACAGATGGAGCCAGCACGTGGGAGCTATTCATTTTTTGTAATTGCTGTATTTCTTCCTAGTATTCTAGGTCAGAAGTTGTGCTCACCTTCTTCGAGAGATCTCCTCTGGATCAGGTGTTAAAAAATGATAATGTACATAAAATTCAACCCAGCTTTCAAAGTCCAGTCAAAATATCAGGTAAGAGCTGCAGTGGAGGCGGGGAGGGAAGGCCACTCACTGTTGGTGGTGGGGCTTCTCCAGAAACCTTTCCAGGTTGTCGTCTACACGGCCGGGCACACCTGCTGCTGCTGGGCTCCAGAAAGACAATTCAACAGAACTGTGTAGGGAGCGATGAGACACTGTTACATGGTTTTTATTGAGTAGTGTGTTTTCCGCCTGCTGACCCACAATTTACACTCTTCCTACTTCCAATGGGATTTATGTGGCACATAAATTAGGACTCTTAAGACCAATATAGTGATAAAAAATTATGGAGACATTATGAAGCAATAGTCCAGCCTGCAAAAGTAAGAGAGTTCATATCACATGTCATTGAACTGGGTTCTTGGTTTCAGGCAGCCAGGACATAAAAGGAAGTACCCGGTTTAGGTGTGGTTAGCGTTGACATTGGACTGCGCCTTCTAGCACTGATGAGGCAAAGGTCACCAGCAGTGAGACGGAATCGTCCACGAGGAGAGCTGCTAAGCTGCCCCGCTGTGGGCAGGAGAAGGAAGGAGGGCAGCGGGACCCCTCGCTGTGCTTGTTATCCTCCTAAGACCTGGGTTGCATGTGCATGAGACACCAGACCTGTATTTTTGCAGCGTTGTTTTGCTGAAGGCTGCTGAGGAGCACAGCACAAAGAGGTCTGTCCTGGAAGTGTCCAGGACTGGGTTTCCCCAGGAAGGGGCAGTCACCCTGTGACCTGAGAGGTGACATTTGAGTGAGGTCTCACTGGAGTTTGCCGGGGGGAAAGGGAGGGAAGGCAGGTATGAGAGGAGGTGCAGCTTGCCTGCAGGTGAGATCCTACAGCACGTCTTGATCTGTGGGAAGGAGAGGAGGAGGGACTCAGTGTCGTCATCCCACTTCTGAATGGAGGAGGCAGGAGAAGCGAAGGTGGAGAGGAGGGGACTCAGAGGAAGTTGACGGGAAGAGTCACCAGAGGAGGAGGGGATCTGAGCCCCGAACGTCTACAGAGAAGGGGCTGGGGAAACAAAGGAGGACACGTGGGGATGGAGTGACTGATGCTGCTGGGTGCAAGTGTCCTGGCTCAGTCACAAGCCACAACAGGGATGAGATTCATAGCTGTGTGCTTCGGTGGACTGGATGGTGTGGGCCGGTCTGGAACCTGGGATGGAAGACTGCAGACAGGATGGGGTGTGCAGAGTGGGGGGTCACTCCTGGGCTTGTCTGCGTCTGCTGCTCTTGAGACCTACCCAAGGGAGCTTTGGTGTGTTCTTAGAAGAGCGAGGCATACAGCAGCCCCTCCGTAGCTGGTGTCTGGTGTCCAGAACCTTCTTTATAGGAGAGTGAAATGGCCAGGTCATCTCTCCTGGTTGGGTGCCCATGGACTGTAATCTTACAGAGCTCACAGGGGGCTCTGGGATCCTAATTGTCTGTCCTGTTGGGTTTCACAATCCCTATCCTGGAGCGTGGGGAAGCTGAGTGGGAAGAGTCCTAGCACCCATGCCTCTGTTTTGTTTTATTTTGCTCTGTTTGGGCAAATGGGAGCGCACAGAGCAGCAGAGTCCTCTTAGGGCCTTGCGAGTGAGAGGAGCTGGACCGCGGCTTCAGGATGAGCCAGAGGCCCCAGACTAGCCCTGTGCGGAGCTGCCTCTGACAGAATGACTGCTCGGGGTGTGACAACCCGGAACATTCCCCAGCCCTTTGTCTTCTTGTCCTGGTTTTATCAGTGATGTGGATGAACACATGGCTCATGTTTATCCTAAAGGGCTGAAAGTAAAGAGATGGAATTAAAAAGGGATAAACGTAGAGGCCCATGTTGTGTTTTAAGCATGTTCTATGTGCCTTTTCGCAAGGACCAAGAACAGATTTTAGCTGGCCGCTGTACGAGCCTTTGTGTGGCCCTGCATGCTGACTGGGACACAGTGTCCAGGTGTAGGAAGGCAGGGGTCTTGACCTCCTGGTGCACGGTGAGCCCCCAGGTCATGTGGATGTCATGCCCGGCCCTGGAGATATCGCAAGATGAGTCATTGCATCAGGAAAGAGGGCCTGGGATGGGGAGAGGTTGATGGAGCAGAGGAATGGGGAAGAGAGACTGGGAGGGAGAAGACGCCTCCACGGTGTGGGAGGGCTGCCATGGGACGGGCATGGGCAGCGGCTGGTGCAGGGCCAGTGGGTGGAAGTAACCGGGGCAGTCTTCAGCTCAGCACAGAGCACTTTACAACAGTCGAGGCTGCCCAGCCATGGAGTTTGTAAATGGCCTGTGGTTGAAAGTCTTGGTGCAAACTCTGGGGCTGTCAGAGACAACCCTGCATGGGGCAGGCTGTGAGACAGCCTTTCACACCTTCTGGAGCTAAGCGTCCCCTGCTCCTCTGGGTGTCTCCTCTTCCTCTGCTCTGCTTGGCCAGTCACCAAGTTTGGGGGTTCTTCTCCCTCTGCACCCTCCCGGCCCTCCCATCTTTGCTCCTGGGCTAGCCGGCCTGCCCTCTGCCCAAGCAAGGGCTTCCTAACTAAATCAGTGTGTGTGCGTGTGTGCAGGCTGCGAGGTGGGGTGGGGGGTCCCCACCCATGTGGTTCGGGATGTGCCTTATTATTTGTTGAGTGAGAAATACATGAAGACAGTGAACTATAGTAACTCAGAAATGCTTTTTTAATGAGTCCACTATTTACAGCGACACCTATTTGAGAAAATAGCTAACACACGGGCACATCATGTAATTAGTATTGGTTCCATATTCGGTGTGTTTCTGGATTTGCGGGTCCCCAGGCTGAGGCTCAGGGGCTGGAAAGCACCAGCCTCACCCCAGACTGTCCACATGCTTTCTGTTGCCCTCCCCTTTCTCCAGAATATACCCTGAGCACTGAGGACAGTCATCCCAAATTCAGACTTCCCAGGCTCATTAATTCTCTCGAAACCTCACCCTCAGGATAAAGCCCGAGTGTGTTGGTCATTCTGGGTATGTCAGAGTCCGGCCTACACTCACCTTTTGGTTCTGTCACCCTCACTCCAGGCCCTTGGCCGCCTTCAGTGGACTCTGGCTGGCCTTTGCTTGTGCTGTGGCCCTGCAGGGACCTTACGAAAACCCTGCCTGTGCATTCCTGTCCTGGTTAATTCCATTCATTCCTGAAAGTGCCCTTCACAGCTGAGACCCATGCCACCCTCCTACCTCCCTCCCTGCTCAGATTTCTTATTGCCTTTTTGTGCATTTACAGAGGCCGTGCTGTGGGGGACGGGCGCTGACACTCTCTCCACGCTCATGGCTTTGGGAGGTGTGCATGCAGGCTCTGAATGCCTTGTTTTTTCCAGTGTTAAGGTTGGTTGGTGATCAGGGCTCCACTAGGTGGCACCAGGTGCCAGCCGGAGTGAGAACTTGTCCGTGTCCAGGGGCCACAGCAAGGACGGTTAGGAAAGACTGTGGTAATGCTCTGGACCAATGCAGCCTTTAACATTCTTCACCCTGTGTTAATCTAAGTGCTTATCGAATCTAAGGAAGCACAAATCTAAAGTGTTCCGCACCGTGGCTGTGGCTCCGCAGGGGAAAAGAAAGGGCAGACCCCACCGTGGCTGTGGCTCTGCAGTGGAAAAGAAAGTGCAGACCCCAGCCTTGATCTGGTGACTTGGACTAAATTGATTTCAGCCATAAAATCTGATCATTCAGGCTTAGGGAGCCTGGAAATGAATTATAACCTTACTTTTTCTTTAATCTGGCATCTCTACAATGTCAACCTTAATTTTTACTGTACAGGGAGAACCCAGTTAGNAGCCTTTGTGTGGCCCTGCATGCTGACTGGGACACAGTGTCCAGGTGTAGGAAGGCAGGGGTCTTGACCTCCTGGTGCACGGTGAGCCCCCAGGTCATGTGGATGTCATGCCCGGCCCTGGAGATATCGCAAGATGAGTCATTGCATCAGGAAAGAGGGCCTGGGATGGGGAGAGGTTGATGGAGCAGAGGAATGGGGAAGAGAGATTGGGAGGGAGAAGACGCCTCCACGGTGTGGGAGGGCCGCCATGGGACGGGCATGGGCTGCGGCTGGTGCAGGGCTAGTGGGTGGAAGTAACCGGGGCAGTCTTCGGCTCAGCACAGAGCACTTTACAACAGTCGAGGCTGCCCAGCCATGGAGTTTGTAAACGGCCTGTGGTTGAAAGTCTTGGTGCAAACTCTGGGGCTGTCAGAGACGACCCTGCATGGGGCAGGCTGGGGGACAGCCTTTCACACCTTCTGGAGCTAAGCATCCCCTGCTCCTCTGGGTGTCTCCTCTTCCTCTGCTCTGCTTGGCCAGTCACCAAGTTTGGNGATGTGGATGAACACATGGCTCATGTTTATCCTAAAGGGCTGAAAGTAAAGAGATGGAATTTAAAAGGGATAAACGTAGAGGCCCATGTTGTGTTTTAAGCATGTTCTATGTGCCTTTTCGCAAGGACCAAGAACAGATCTTAGCTGGCCGCTGTACAGCTTCGGTGGACTGGATGGTGTGGGCCGGTCTGGAACCTGGGATGGAAGACTGCAGACAGGATGGGGTGTGCAGAGTGGGGGGTCACTCCTGGGCTTGTCTGCGTCTGCTGCTCTTGAGACCTACCCAAGGGAGCTTTGGTGTGTTCTTAGAAGAGCGAGGCATACAGCAGCCCCTCCGTAGCTGGTGTCTGGTGTCCAGAACCTTCTTTATAGGAGAGTGAAATGGCCAGGTCATCTCTCCTGGTTGGGTGCCCATGGACCGTAATCTTACAGAGCTCACAGGGGGCTCTGGGATCCTAATTGTCTGTCCTGTTGGGTTTCACAATCCCTATCCTGGAGCGTGGGGAAGCTGAGTGGGAAGAGTCCTAGCACCCATGCCTCTGTTTTGTTTTATTTTGCTCTGTTTGGGCAAATGGGAGCGCACAGAGCAGCAGAGTCCTCTTAGGGCCTTGCGAGTGAGAGGAGCTGGACCGCGGCTTCAGGATGAGCCAGAGGCCCCAGACTAGCCCTGTGCGGAGCTGCCTCTGACAGAATGACTGCTCGGGGTGTGACAACCCAGAACAT